CCCCCCCCCCCCCCCCCCCCCCCCAGCCGGTCCCTTCCCCCCCACCATCCATGATCAAGTGCGTCTGGTATTTTGGGGGGAGGGTCTACTTGATAACCCTAGGTGTCAGGCTGTATTAACTGCACGTCTTGTCACAAGGGGTATGTCTAGACTGCAAGGAAGTTTACAGGATCTGTCGACAGATCCCCTTCTAGACTGCCTCTTTTTGCTGACAAAGTGCTGAGTGGCAAAAACGGCGGCCATTTTTATGCAAATTAAGCACGGGATGTTTAAATCCCCGCTTCATTTGCAATGTCGACCTGCCTAATCTGCATCCCTCTGTCATCAGAGGGATGCTGTCTAGACAGACCCAAAGCAATTCACAAGCACTCCCTGCTAAGCCTCTGAGCGGGCATTTGTGCTTTGTTACCACTAAGGGGTAAACTGAGGAACAAAGAGATCAAACACTTGCCCAAAGTTGTGCAGTGACGCAAGGATGAGGGGATAGATTGCACCCTCAGCAAATTCGTGGATGACACTAAGCTAGCGGGAGAGGTAGATACGCTGGAGGGCAGGGATAGGGTCCAGAGTGACCTAGACAAATTGGAGGATTGGGCCAAAAGAAAGCTGATGAGATTCAACAAGGACAAGTGCAGAGTCCTGCCCTTGGGACGGAAGAATCCCAAGTATTGTTACAGGCTGGGGACCGACTAGCTACGTAGCAGTTTGGCAGAGAAAGACCTGGGGATGACAGTGGGTGAGAAGCTGGAGATGAGTCAACAGGGCGCCCTTGTAGCCAAGTTGGCTAATAGCATATTGGGGTGCATTAAGAGGAGCATTGCCAGCAGATGTAAGGAAATGATTATTCCCCTTTATTCGGCTCTGGTGAAGCCACATCTGCAGTATTGCAGCCAATTCTCTGCCCCCCACTACAGAAAGGACGTGGACGCGTTGGAGAGGGTCCAGCGGAGGGCAACCAAAATGATTAGGGGGCTGGAGCATATGACCTATGAGGAGAGGCTGAGGGATTTGGGTTTGTTTAGTCTGCAGAAGTGAAGAGTGAGGGGGGATTTGAGAGCAGCCTTCAACTCCCTGAAGGGGGGCTCCAAAGAGGATGGAGAGAGGCTGTTCTCAGTGGTGGCAGATGGCAGAACAAGGAGCAATGAGCTCAGGTTACAGTGGGAGAGGTCCAGGTTAGATATTAGGAAAAACGATTTCCCTAGGAGGGTGGGGAAGCACTGGGATGGATTGCCTAAGGAGGGGGTGGAATCTCCATCCCTAGAGGTTTTGAAGTCCCAGCTTGACAAAGCCCTGGCTGGGATGATTGAGTTGGGTTGGTCCTGCTTTGGGCAGGGGGCTGGACTCGGTGACTCCTGAGGTCTCTTCCAGCCCTAGGATTTTAGGATTCTAAGGAGCAGAACCTATCCCTGCTGACTGCTAAGCGTATGCCTACCCACTAGGCATCACCGCCTCTGTGTGGGAAAACAGGAAGGCGGAGCACCCCTCCTGGGCTCAACAGGAAGAAAGAATGAGATGCTGAGCCCAGGAGGACAACGGGGGAGGGGCTCATGTAGTACCCATCACTAACAAATGGTGTTGGGGGACTCGGGGACCGTGGCGGACTGCAGGGCCATTCAGCGGCTTGCGTCTCTCTCCAGCCCCTCCTTTAACCCTAGCAGCGTTGGGCACGGGAGAGGGGCACTTGGGCACTTGACTGAGACGTCCTTAGCAGGACCGGACTGTGTCTCTAGGCATCTGCCCAGGGCCACCTCCTAAGAGAAGTCAGAGCCGTGCCCTTTCTTGTCCTCGCAGAAGTTGAGATAATGAATGGGGTAAGTACCTGGCTCAGGCCTCCCCCACCCTGGAGCAGCTCTTTCTGGGGTGGAGCACATTAACCACCCCACAGCAGTAGTGCCAAGCACTTGGCTTTGAAAGAGGAGACGTGAAAAGTAATTTCTCCAATTTAAAACCACAGGGGGAGCAACACATCATTCCTGACAGGGGAATTCGGCTGGGGCAAGCCCCGTTATTCTTGCCAGAAGCGCCATGTGGAATGTAAATCTCTCTGAGTGGCTAGACCCTCCGGCTTAACTTTTATCTGAAATGCAGAAAGCTAGGGGAGCCAGCAACCCGTATTTCAGGCGCTACAGGATTTCACACAGCTAGCTAGTGGATCTGAAATGTAGCAGTATTGTCCCCTGGGATAAGCTATGCTGGTGGGAAAAAGGGAGGTGCAAGGGGGGAGCGAGCAATTTCACATCCTTAAAGCATCGCAAGCTGTTAATTAGCTAGGTCTATGGTCTCCGAACAGTAACAAATGAATCCTCTGGAGTCAACATCCAAAGCAGCAAGGAAATACAAGATCCAGGCAAAGCCTGCAGAAGGTGCAGAAACCAAAACAAGAACCATGGATAAAACCAAGCTCTTTAAAGAAACATTGAGAGTAAAATAATACCAGGTTAACTCTGTTTTAGGTCTCAGCCGTCGTCCCTTGAATTCACAGTGATCTGGGTACAGGGCTAGCCTCCTACACCCACATGCTAGGTGTTTCTCGGTGTGAACACCGTAACAAATACAAACAAAGGAAAACCCAGGAGTGCAGAATAAGACAGAAAAAAATGGTATGGTGCAGCATCCTCTCTTGATAAAGTTTTCTTTCCTGCCTTCAAACCCCATTAGGCATTGGCTTGCCAGGATCTCCTCCAACCACCTCTCCATGCAGGCTAGTATTCTGTTATTTGTGTTGTGCTCTTGTCTGGCAGCGCCAGGGAGGTTTAGGAGACAGCAAAGGAGGTTCAGGTTGGATGTTAGGAAAAACTTCCTGCCTGTCAGGGTGGTTAAACACTGGAATAAATTGCCTAGGGGGGTTGTGGAATCTCCATCCCTGAAGATAGTTAAGAGCAGGTTAGACAGACACCTGTCAGGGATGGTCTAGATGGTTTTTGGTCCTTCCATGAGGGCAGGGGACTGGACTTGATGACCTCTCGAGGTCCCTTCCAGTGCGAGTGTTCTAGGATTCTATGACTCAGATAACAAAGGCCGCCTCTGTACAATATAAAGGACAGGACTTAAAGTGCTGCATAGTCCTGTCTTTTGTTTCAGCTAGACCAGACTGACACGGCTACGTCTCTATGACTATTCTGCACAATATAAATGAGAGGGTGAGATTTAAGTCATCTCTTGTAGTGGCCAGTTCTGGGCTGAGGCACTGAGCTATTTAGATTGTTGGGATGTAAAATCCCGTTTCATCAGTGAACTGGTTAAAGATTATGTTTAACCACTTAAACAGGGTAGGCAGGGGGGTGGGGGTCGGGTTCCCAGACAGGCTGGGCCACCAGTTCACCGTGACCGGTGCTTACCAGTTAACCATTGCCATCCTTATTAGTTTGCACTGGACAAAATATTAGGAAAAAAAAAAGTTCCAGATTGTGGTCCATGCAGAATTGTCAAAGCAGAAGGACTTTGTGGTTTTCAGCCAAGCAGGCAGGAGATGTGTGTTCACTTCCCAGCTCCACCACAGCCTGCTTGTGTGATCTCAGGCAAGCCAATGGGAGCTAGGCACTGAAATAAGTTTCAGGGTCCGGGCTTGAGTGTCTGGGCCTCAAGTCCCTCTCTGGACCAAAGGGCTACTAGTACTTCCCTGCCTCTCAGGAATGGTGGGAGAATAATCACAGTCAAGACAGTCCAGGACTCGGATGCCAGAGTGTTGGAGAGCCTGTAGATCTGCAGACTCTCTGTAACTGGCTAGTGAAATTCCTTTATAGAAGAATGCCTGTTTTAAAATCCAGGGCTGAGTGACCACGCAGGTTAAAGTGTTCCCCTACTGCTTTAAGGCTACGTCTACACTGGCAGCTTCTTGCGCAAGAACTCTTTTGCGG